CCCCCCTCTCTCTCTTTCTAAAGGATCTCTCTCCTTTATTTCCACTACCCTTCCCTCCCCCCTGTCCCTCTGTCAGGTTCAGCATTATTGGAAGTTTGGTAACAAAAATGAATAAATAAAGAAGTTTTGGCCTTCTCACTAACAAAGCCTCCCCTGGCAAAGCAAATTTGTTCAGCATAGAACGGTACTCAGATTTCAGTTCTGCTGCAATACACAATAATGCTGAATAATGCTGAAAAGGACAAGGTAAAAAAAAAAAAGAAAAATCAGATTAAAGTCCCCTTGCAGAGACGGGGAATAAATGTTCAGAACAGAACAAGCTTCACAAAGACACTGTCTCCAGAACTACTGCAGATGATAGGATGAGCTGACCTGTGTGTGTATGTTGTATATTTATACTGTTTTTCATGTTCCTATTATTAGGGGGGCCACTGCCAGCGGCAAGGCCCACTTATTACTATCCGAAATACTTATTATTAGGGGGGCCACTGCCAGCGGCAAGGCCCACCTATTACTATCCAAAATACTTATTACGCGGCTTATAGTTCTCCCGTTTCCGCGGACCGCTTCGGGCCCAAAATCGGCACGCGCGTCCGGAACCACTGTGCCATGCGTGCTTGTTCAAAACTTTTCAAAGGAGCGGGCGTTTCCGAGTAAACGGCGGAAAAACGGTCAAAACGCCGCCCCATAGGAAATGAATGGGAAACGGAGAGACCTCGTTCGAACATTGAACGGGACACGAAAGACGGGCCTCCGCCATATCGGAGCCACGAGGCCAGATCTCGCACCGTTTGCCCGCAATCGCTGTTGACGCAATCCCCTCTCCAATAGGATTTGAATGGAAGAGAAACTTATTTTCACCAGAGCCAAAACGGCCCTCATAAAATACACCGACTTCGACCTTAAACTCTGTAGGCGACCTGAGACCCTTTATGTTCTCACGGTCCAAGAATTTTCCAGTTTTGTGAAATAGTTTTTGAACAGCGGGCAGGAGTTCTGAGGCAACTTTTGATCCAATCTGTCAGTTGGGTCTGTGAGTGACAGGTGTGGCAGTTTAGAATCTTCAGTGCTGTTGCCGTGGCGATCAGCAAAGCTGTGGGGCTGATGGATCCATCTGGTTCTGGGGATCGGACCCAACCGGGTCAGAACCGGACCGGGGCCGGACCCAGCCATGTCATACCTCGTCGCGTAGGTCTTTTCCTCAGCTTTCAGCCAACGTGACCCCCGACCTGCTCAAACCAATTACCTTCGGTCAGCGGGCCCCAGAGCTCAGCCGGGTCCCTCCATCACCTCAGGCCCTCTCATAGGCGCGAGCCCACATTACAGA